AGTCAGTTGCCATAGCTATCCACAGACTTCAAAATGGACGATATATTTAAAATACACATTAATAGTTGGCTTACATAAAAAAAAATAAACCCACTACCATAATGTTCATAAAAAAAATAAGAACATTATAAGCTTATATATTATAAATCTATTGACTGAGAAAATAAGTGCTCGTCTTTAGTTAAGAATATTTTAAAATATCATGTTATATAACACTCCTACACAATTACAGCAGCACTCAGCAGTATAATATCAATAACTAAATAATGAGACTTATTGACGGTAAAATAATAAACTTGTTAAAAAAACATCTCTCATAAATGTGTAGATACCACCGATTTTCGTTACTGCGCATTACCAGTAAATAAATACTTTATTTTTTATAAAATAATATAATATATTATAGTCATCGATACTGTGTCAAAGATTTCAAGCGATGGCTGTAATACTTGGATAGTATACATACGCATAAAATGGATAGCTGCGATTAGATCCAGTTTTACTGATGCAAACGTCAAAATGTATAATATAATAATATTATTATTTCAATATTTACATTTCACTTTGGCTTCCGACAGCGACATCATATAGATATTATAGACACCAATATTGTAGTATACGGATTTGGCAGTGCTGCTGTGATAACGACGTTACATAATATTAACGAGCATACAGGGTGGTTCTAAACTTCTAAACGTTAGGCGTCCTCTTGTCTGACTAGGTGTACTATAATACTAAGCATAACAATATGATATTGTATTCCAGTATTTATTAGTTTTTCACACCCCGTTTCCTGTTTATATATATAGACTTTAAAACTAAAATAAAATAAATTATGAACACGACGTCTTGTATACCTATAACAGATTCGTAAAAATAAATTGTTAGTCATTGGAACTTTGGGTTTTTACGTGAATAAATGTAGCTTTGTGCTTAATGAATCGAAAATTAAAATGATTTTAAATATGTGGCCCATTTATTTAAGGAAATATTTTAAAGAATAAAATGTTATTGGTTAGGGAGAAACCAGTAAGGTATCCGATATACTATTATATTATTGGGTATACTTTTATCATACACCGCAGGTACACTGATAATAGAATGAGTCGATACGGAATTATTATTTTCTAGCTACGAGACGTACACGCGGTGCGATATCCGCTGTACGAATCTCGTATACAATTTATTTCTATAACAATATAGAATGAACATATATTATGTGGAATAATCGTTGACCTTTTATATTGTACGATGATAAATGATAATATAATAACAACGCGTTATTGACACGGTACGCTTTCCGAAGTTTTCGAAGAGTCGTGGAATATAATTATCCGTTGGACAGATACTGACAGACAGGTACAATATAACTCTTACTGCAACGTCATATTGTTATCGAGCAATACAGTAGAATGTTAATATATATTATTTATCACAATATATTCATCGTATATTATAATATATTTATGATATAATAGAACCAAGTTGGTCATGATTAAAATATAAAACTTTATCTGTACCATAAGGTAACAAGAGCGATGAAAAAGAGTTAAACTTCGAAAAAAGTCTGTATGCCTAGGTTAATTTTACTTTCAACAAAACTTTCAATGAGTACCTACCTACTTTATGTGTATCTCTATTTAATCAATGAAAATTTATTCAGTAACCCATTATTGTCCGAAGTCCATACTATTCTTATCGTTTCTATATCTGACTTTTATTCGACCGTTCTTAACAATGCATTGTCGTTATTAATTATTAAATAATAATATATTCATTTATTATTATTTACTTAAATATGAATTTTGAGCACTAGTCTCCCCCTTAACTGTCACTTGTTGTAACATATATTATGTATCCATATAAAACTGTCACGGATTTAAATGTTGAATTCATAATACAAGTAGTTCTCGGATGACTAGTCCAAAATCGTATAATCCTAATATCTGTGGTATGAACTAAAAAAAATGCTGTATTTTAATTATGTTTTTGTGACTTGAATGTGTGCAGATTATAAAATATATTTATTTACATAGGATCAGAGTTTATTTTTTAAATTTCATAAGTAAACACCTTAAAATATAATCTAATATATACAAATCTAGTGTAACGGTGTTTGTGGTCACTGGTCGCACTATTCCGAAACGGCTCGACCGATTTTATTGAAAATTGTTTTTGTATATTTGACAGTTATGAGAATAGGTCGTAAAGTATTTTTCACCTTCCTAACCAAACCCTAGAAGGTGCCAAAAAGGGGATTTTGAGATTTACAGTGGAAATTGTTATTTATAAATGATTGCTATTGGTTATAGGAGAAATAATTAATAGCAATTAGTATTTATTATTTGGTTGCCATTGGTGGTTAATCGGGCAGATGAGAAGCAAGCATGCATCAAATCAATTTTTCGCACATTGCCTAATTGATATGCTGTAGCACATTGTCCGCGATCCGACGTAGGCGGATTGCTTACCAACGAGGATGAGTTGCACCACAATTTTTTTGGGGAGTTGAACAACCACAATTTCGGAAAAAAAACCACGGAAAACGAAGTGCTCGGGATCAGCAATAGTATACTATATAGGTACGTTTAATACACACATAACCTAATATATTATATTAGTGATAATTATAAAATTTGATATAATACCTATATTGTATTTTTAATGTTTTTTACAATTTTTACCAAACAGAAATATTTTTTTTATGTTTTCATGAATAATGGTATGTGTGTACCATTTATATTTTTAAGTATGTATTTGAAATTAAAAACTAGTAAAACTATAACTTTGTTTTTAACGAGTTCCTTATAGACAATATTTTGTATGTATAGGTACTAGTTTTTGCACAACTAGGTTATAATATTTAATTGAAGGTCATGACTGCCATTTATTTTATTATCACAACTTAAGTAAATCGTGAACAATACAAGGTGACAAGATTTTGCTAGGGACATAACTTATTCACTTGAGCAGATTTTGCTTTCATTTTGAAAATATGCATTATATCATATTATCAACAACATTCTCAACATTATATCAATATATTTAATATTAAATTCATGGAAATTAAACTTTTATTAAATAAAAACAACTACAAAAATGTATTATTTTTTTGTAATTTTTTTTTTAGAACACATATATATCGTTTACATTTTAACACAAATTATATAATATAAATTATAAAGAAATATGGAACAAATTTAAGTTTAAATAACACAATATCTAAAAAAATAGTTAATAATAATAATTGTAAAAAAATGTCCATACTTTAGTAGTATATTATACGAAGATATACAACTATAATATATAATGCGAAATGTTGAAGGCAAAAAGTGATGGTTAGCCTAACAATGATGTAGCTGTATCAATAATTAATGTTCCTCAAAACAATTTGGATAGAAATAAGAACGTTACAAGAATGCTTATTATAAAATGTCAAAGAGTAATCAATAATTCAAAATATTAGCAAGTACCAAGAGAAAAAAATCAAACAAAAATACCTATAAAATAACAAATTCTTGGTTTGTGACGAAATATTGTTTCCAACTACGAATTATTATACTACCTACTGTATGTCAGTATAATAATAATAATAACCGATCTTACTTTTAGATTTGTAAACAATAAAATGTCTTCGAGTTCATCTCATATATAATTACATACAAGTTATTATAAATCACTATAACAACTATTAAAATACAAACGCCGTTTGAGAAACACATAAAAATGATCAAACAAACAAACAATGATCGGAAGATATATTTTGTAAGTTGGAAAAATGGACCCATAATAATATTATCACAAAAAATATCTGTAGTCGAAAAAAGTATACTACATAAAATTTAAAATAGACTAGATCTTAATGATAAGAATAAGTGTACATAAAGTCGATGCTTACAATATTTATAGATGCCTATATAATAATATGTATTATTATAGTCAAATTTATATCTTTTATAATATTTAGAGTATGAAAATAATCAGTTTAACAGCGGTGCCGATGAAAAAAAAAAAACTAATGATTCATTAGACATAACATGCAATAGTATTATATTATTCATCATCTAAAATAATATAATATGCATATTATATTATTATATGTAATGTTGGTTTACATTTGTTTCTTATAAAAATCATTATTGTTGTTACTTTTTAGAAAACAATATTATAAAGTCAAGAACTCTCGACACGGCAGTAATTCGTACTGAATTTTGTCACACTCTATTCGTATATATCTAAAATAATATATTTCTATGTTTGTCAAGCTCTAAGAACCTATGGTGTTTCCGTGATACGTAATTTATTAAAGTTAATTTGATAATAATTATAATCAAAAAGATTTTCTTATCGCGATTTGCAAATAAAACTTAAATCAGTACCTATAATAATAATGCCTAATTTCTAATAAATAATAATAACCGTCTCGTATCTATTAAATTTCATCCGTCAATGATTATCATCGTTCTCTGATTGTCTCATATATTATAATATACATTTAAATTAAACGTAGGTACCTTCGGGAAAGAACGGAGAAATACATTTTAAGAAAAGCAAAACAATACTGTGACGTATCTCCCTACCCTGTATAAACACGTCTAATATTCGGGTAAAAAAAAGAAAAGAAAAAAAGAGACACTTACATTATTAATCAATCATAACAATAATATTATTATCGTCCGAGAGAGGAGATTCGTGCATCGATAATAATAATAATAAATCTTACTAATCCTATATAATATGATAGCTTACACAAAACAAAAATTTAATAAAAAAAAAATTGTTTTAAATCTATACGATTTAGAACAAAATGTTATAATATATATTATATAATATCATACATAACTCCCATTGTGATATGTACCTACTGCGGCGTATATATACACGAATACTCAATACTCATCGAATATATACGACGCATGTGCAGTGTACTTATCGTAATACAATAATATATATATATATATATCATATTAGGTGTGCTTGTTGTCGTCGAAGATGAGTGTCTAAGTTCTCCTGGGTTCTAGTTTCTGGGACATGCTCATCAACGTCCGTTCGTTGTTCACACACCTCAAACAGCTCACGTACGATTTGACGTCGGCTTCGTTTTTCGACACCGGCGGGTCCAAGACTGAAAAATGTAATCGGACGAACGACGAGCGGTTTAGATGTACAATATTATACTACACGTATATTTACTAAATTTCATATAACAGGGCGTTTATCATCTTTGATTTTATCGGAGGTAGTTCAACCACAATAATATTATATTAACAAAGATTAACTCTATAAATTGGCTTGCCTCCAGGCCGTAATTATTTAAAAACAAGCGAGTATTATGTTTTTTGAGCTCTGCAGGTAACCGAGAAAAAAATTGGATTTTAATAATAACAATTGGGTCTTTATCTAATAAAGTAATGATTTCCTAAAACCAAACGTATTTTATTCTGAATACTTATTTAAAAAATATTAAATTAAAAAAAATAACGACTGGAACATCTAGGTGAAACGTCTATTACATTTTATTATAATATGACAAGTTGCAGACTGCCATTGGGTAATTTCACAGTTTTCAGTGTGACGAAAATAAACTTGTAATTTTATTAATATTGCATTTTGACAAAATTCCGATACCTATTAAATGTAGTTAATGGACTTAAATTTTTAGGAACGAAAAAAATCAAGACACATTGGACGATACCACTGCTGAATATCACAAATGACGCCACTTACAGAACATTAGGTATCAATTAGTGAAAAACCATCCTCACCTAAATGCCTGGCTCGGCAGTACCGGAGTGTTCTCATGGTTTGAGCCAGCATGTGCATTTTTTCAAAGTTGACCAAACCGTCCACGTGCGTTTTGTTGCCGTCGTGGGTGAATTTCATGTCTAGAAAAAACGTTATAATATTATATTCAATTGATTATGATAATATGATTAAATGTTATTTCAGTGTCGTTGTGAAAAGTACAGCTATTTTACGGTTATATTAAATTAGAGGTGACTTTTTTTTGTATTTTAGCGTAAGTCTGAGGGTGGATAACGATCATGATAAACGAAACTCGTTTTTAAACAAATTACGTCGTCAACAGTCAGATATACTGAATACATAATAAAAATAATACAATTTAAAAAATAACGTGTTTCGTGTGCTCCCATAACTGTATAAGTTAGGATAAACGAGGTAAACAGGCCGAGTGCTCTATGCTAAAATAATATTATGTTGTTTAGTGTTTATTGTTATAAAGCATTTTAGCCCTGTACAAGTTTATAGGTTTGTAACTTTATAGCAGACCTTTGATGAGCAGGGGCATGAACGGTATCATGGGAGAGGGTAATTTGCCGACGGTGATTCTGTACGCCCTGTGGTTCCGACTTGGGTCGATGAGCGTCTCATATTCAGTGAACTGTTTCCGTGACTTGGACGGCAACTTGTCCCAAGTAGTCGACAACCGACTGACAGCCACGTCGCTTAGTCCCATGAGGATGGCGAAAAATGCGTTGAAATTATAATACTCTTTGCAGCTGAAAAACCATGATTGATTTTAATTTAATACCGCAACTTTGAGGAAGTGCAAGTAAATATTAAGTATAATACTTTATAAACAGCCCATGACCTTAATACGCCCATATCCTATTTAACTCTAAAATTACTGTTGTCTACAAACTATTACACTTTATTATTGAAATCTTGATAAATTATTTAAATTATAAGTTTGATTAATAATTACACGATCGTATTAAAAAATATATTGTAATTGTATAGTTGCCCAGCTCTTTGGTTTTTCTAGAAATTCTCTAAAAAAACTTGCCTGGACACGTCAGAAGTGACAGTAATATTATAAAAATATAAAATTAATTCATAATATGACTTAATTTTAATCTCTTCGATGTACAAGTACTTAATTATATATTGCGGTCGTGTGAATGTCGATGAACTTATAAATAATTTAATTTTAAAACTCACAGTTAACATTATATTAATAATAATTAATATTATTATTATAATTGGTGTTCTGGCCCGTAAGAAGTTTTAATTATATTTTTCTATTCCTACGTGACATTGTATTGTTAAAACTTGGAGAAGAAAAAATATAATCAAATCGTTCAGCTATCACCCCTTGTTACAGTTATTTAACAGCAGGCCGAGCAGTATTCCACACACCCTCTGCACAAGTTGTGGTCTTGATTGATAAACCTCATGAGTAATAGTGATTAACTAATAAGACTTTGAGGGTGTTTCAAATATATAGCTTTACATTCTAAGTCTATAATATACGGATGTTTTACCCTCTTTACTCTAAAATATCTATGCTTCTGATCAACCCACCACACCACAGCTGATGGTCGCCAACTACGCTGATGACAAGAATATAAATTCCACAAATCCCGGCCACATTATCGCTTTTCATCACCTTCAAAATCATCTTTCCCTCATGGAATACTGGTACATACAATGGAGGCTAAAAATAAATCAACCTAAATCCATACATACCTACCACAGGTATTTAATATTTACTCTCAGGCTTGCGCCTTGCCTTTTAGATTCCATCTATGGCACTCAAATTCCAATATAAAAACCAATTAAATATTTAGGATTAATTCTAAGACCGTAGACTAAACTGGGCCCAGCATATTAAATCTAAACGACACAATCTAAATGATCGATTAAGCTTAGGTACTCTAAACATTTATTAATAATAAACACACTAACATCAGTAACATCGCTACACTAAACCACTCATCTATAAATCCCTAATTAAGCCATCTTTGCGTACGGTAATAATATGGTATTCAGCTATGGGAAAATGCAAAAATCAAACCTAAATAAAATTCAAACGTTTCAAAATATACCGTTCAGAAAACAATTAAATGCTACCTTCCCTTACTGACTGTGAATTAAAATTAGGGCATGAAGAAACTAAAATATATTAAAAATGCTTCCAAAACTTTCTTACCTCAACCAATAGCAGTCCCTTTCATCCGTGGAAACCCACCCAAACCACAATCGATAATAGTGTCATTGCCTTCTTGCCCCCCCTCCCTCCCGGTATCCAAATTAAACCAGATTAAATTCTCTAAAAAAAACTCTACTGTTAAAAGTATTTACAAAAGTACTATGTATGCTGTATAATATTAATTTAATTTAATCTTAAATATTTGAAATAATTAAGTTACCAATCATATGTAACTTAAAATACGTGTTTGACAGTTTGCCTGTCTACACTCGACCCCTTCGTATGTTTGAAACGTGGCCAAATATTAGTTCTACAATCGTAATCGAGTTTTGTGAACTGCTTACTTAATTCTATACAACTTATGAATTCCCTAAGTACTAACTTGGATAACTAATTTAGAATAAATAAAGCAACACGGAGTGAAACTTAGGTTGAGTTATATTTTCAGTATCTGCCTATATTAATTTCCATACGTAGATACAATTTTCATCACACAATATTGTTAGACACTATACTTAAATATTTAATGCACACTGTAATATAATAAAATACATTATTTCTTATTAGCATAACATATTGACATAACAATAATACAATTCAATTTATATTATTTTTATGCTTTTGTTAAAAAAAAAGTTTTTAATTTTAAACAGTAGATTGCGCTGTTATATTGCTCTACGTTAATTATTTTCAAAATATTATCATACCTATATTGTTTTATTTTATTTTTCATTAACTACCCACCCATGTTAATATCTGGGATTAATTTAACCATTCGCGATATTTAAAGAGATTAATTTTTGAATGCCAATACAATTTTTGACATCAAAAACATATTTTGATTTACGATTGTACGTATTTGGACATATTTTACGACAGTGAACGAGTAGTTTGCTAAATCACTTACTATGTTGCCAATTTGATCATTTTCTTCAGTATGTTCGTTCTTTTTGATATATTTTGTGACGTACATATCTCGGTAATAACCCAATATTGGATTTCGTTGAAACGTCTGAGAAATATATCCAAATTTGCTGTGATTTGTTGGAATCGATGTCTGCCAAACGTTAAGTATATCAGTTCATACTAAACAAAACAATCAAATTAGTTGGTTTTTAATTTATTTTTTTTTGATAAGCTCAAATATTATGTTTTGTTTTGCACCTCGTGGACATTCCAAAACAATTCCCAGTCAAAAAGTGTCATGTGATACGCCAGTTCCTTGGTGCTCAGTGAATCAAAATCACCCGATATCTCCGCTCCTTCAGATTTTTCTTGTTCTGGCACACACGTCTAAATTCATATATTATTATTTATATTAGTGATATTTATTTCCAAAGTAATATGCAAGATTGCAAGCATTGTCTGAAAGACATACTGTTACAAGGAATTATTAACGATAAGTTAACGAAAGTAGAATCGATCGTCGGTAACTATATTAGCAATTCAAGTAATCAAATATTTTACTGTTGTAACTTATTGAACATAAAAAATGCAATATAAATATTTTTTTAGAAACTAAAAAGAGAGAAATGTCTTCAATGAAATATGTATGGAAAACTTCACTTTGAATTTAAAATTTCTAAAATTAAACAAACTTTTAAAAATTTTAAAATCAATTAAACTAAATCTAGGAACAAATCATTATTTTAGTTAAAAATCAAAATAACTTTATCAATTAGGTAGGTATATATGCTATTTTCACTATAGAATATATCAATTTATGATGGGCTTTTTTGAAGATTGATTTTATGATTGATTATAAAATTTAACAATTTATTTCCATTGTGTATTTATGTGCTTACATAATAGGTACATACTACATTATAATACATAGGTATTATATAATATATTTTTTGCAAAGCCGATTATTTGTTGATTAACCTATGTCATACGTTCGAACTTATTTAATTTAAATTATTTTATCACATGTTATTTTAATATTAAAATTACATTAGAGATCATTATTATTATATTATGAAAAACATATTATACATTTTTATTCAGACAATATTTATAATTTGTCTATTTTATCGCGTAATATGTACGCTTTTATATTATACGAGTAAAAAAATAAGAATTTTTATTCTTGCGGTCTGGAATTTAATATGCAAATTTATGTACACGTCAACCAGAAAAATGTATTTAAAATACCAATGCATCCATGTGATCTTTTGGCGTCAGAAATATGCAACTGTTTAGTGCCACGGTGGTGGGTATCGAGTGTTCGCTGTCCCTGAACGGTACCCTTTCCCCGTTTGATTTTACTTCCACTATCCTCAGATCTTGAACGGGATGCCGGAGACTGCATTTTTCGTACGCTCCCACTTTGATGGTTTCTGCAGTGGCGTTGACAGCCAGTCGCAATGTGCAAAACGTATGATCGGCACAGTACACTCGGAATATGACTGAAATATACATAATAAAGAACTTAAGAACGTATACACTATACTACTAATCGTATACAACTTTAGTTAAAATATATAATATTACATAATACATGAAAACTTCACTGGGTCAGTTTGAATTTAATTATATTACATCAGCTTTTTCTTTGAAATGTTTAGTGTAAAATGCGGTTAAGTTATTATTATTATATTTATATAATATATTATATGAACAATGTTTCGTGTTTACTTTAAACGTTAATAACATGAATTTATAATATCATGAGCTTACTGTCATCGTTTGGTCGGATGATCGGCCTATTATTTTTTGACGGATTGCTTATTGCTGAAAACAGGCAAATGGGTTGACCACCAGGCGGTAACTTCCATTTTAAGCCCGAAGTCTCTAATCGTTCGTCCTGATACCGTCTCAACCGAGACATGATGTGATGCATTAGGCTAGCTTCCTCTTGCAGAGCTTGACTCTTTCCACCCAGCAGTTGACAATCGGCTTCCACATCACTGGCCAGTTCCTAAAAAAAACAGAAAAATGTTTTAATGCGCAAACAATATTTACTTCGTGAAATTTAAAATACCTCGAGAAATGACATCGAGACGACGTCGTCAAACACCGGATGCCTTATGGTCACCACCCATCTGTAGACGAATTGTACTACTTTTCTTTTACAGTTGATGGTGTACTCTCTGTCCTGGGCTGGATTTTCCATATGGTAAGTGAACATACGCGTTAAGGAAGAAGATCGAAATGTTTAAAATTATATAATAAATTAAATATTTTTTGGTTTTCTATTTTAAAAGGATATTATTTATTGAGTTCCGATACTAATGTTCTGGTAGGCATGAATACTATGTGCGTTAATAAGAAATCGTCTAGACACGGGTCGTTCCTGGAGCCTGCGACATTCGTGCTACTTAGTCTGTGCTCTAGTAGATGTTCTAGAATTTTTTGCGGAGTTCCGGCAATAATCATGTATCTTAATCAGTGAACATAATCGTTAGTTAGTAATTCGATCGTGTGCAATAAAAAATGTGTTACGAATGTTATAGTTATAGTTTATATCGAAACGTCGTACTTGTGTAATCGTGGAGATTTCTCTAATACCAACACGTCACTACCGAGTTCTTTCAGTCTGACGGTATTTGCTTCGATGTCCCTTACGATTTTATTATAACTGTCTTTGTCTACACGCAGCAGATGGGTATTGTCTTCTTTGACTGTTATGGTCGCCGATCTAGATTTAAAACGGATCGACATTAACACACAACGATATTATCATTGCTACCATCGATTTAATAATATAAAAATTACCTGGGAACGTTGTGAATCAACGCCAAACCACCGAAGTCTTCGCCGTCGTACAGCGATTCTACGATGCCCTTGGAGTACGTTTCCACGCTGACCGCGCCTTGCATAATGACGTACCACGCTTTGCCGTCGTCTCCTTGGCGGAACACTGTGACAGAATACACAAGACCCCCGAGAGTTGTTACGATTGTGGCTGGCAGGTATTGTATCACTGGAGTTTTGTCAACGATAGTCGGTGTATATTATGTGTTAGCTATATGCTGTGTTCGTCGTGTTTACGGTTAACTAGGTTTCCGGGCGCGAGTTACATTATTCGTGAATAATCGAAGGAGAAATCATGACCACGCCGTATTTCCAGTTGAACGGTATTATAATAATAATCGCCCGGAAGCGTTAATAGTATTATATTATGTTAGTAAATCATTGTATAGTGAAAATGTGCGTCCCCTCCATGGTTACACAGGTGGATATATTTTGTTAATAATTGGTAAAACTTCCATGGAGAATTTTTTTTGCCCCTTTACTAAAGTTATTCAACGACTTATAATGCTGACATAATATTGAGTTACTTGAGTTATTTTGGACTTACAGAAATTCAATATCTGCATTGTATATAGTTATAGTGTAGGTACGATGTCGCTGAATTGAAAATAAAACAATTTTATTTTACACGTTTCTGAGATTTGTTTGTATTTTAATTAAGATACTCTGAACAATTATGTGCAAAATATCAACAAATGAGAAGGATATATTATATTTGAAGAAGAATAACATTTATTCTCTTCAAATTATTTATTAACCGTAGAACATTTTAGGGTGTTAACTGTTAATCACGATCAAATATCCGCTATGTCCATTGGTCACCTACCCAAAGTTTTTTAATATAAAATATTATTGTGCTTTAAGCACTAGGAGTGTGATGTACTTACGTGTATAACCGGCTTTTGGATGAGCTTCAAACACCACAACAGAAGCCAGTTCCCGTTTCACCGAGTTTGGCAGGTGAGCCAGAGCTTTCTGCTCGCACAGCTCCTCAAATATCAGCTCCAAGTCCTCGGGTGTCCTCTCTGAGCTCCTGTCGGACACAAAACACCGTAATTGTGATTTATTCACTATATGTAGATCTATAATAATATATACAAATATGATCTATATAACTGTCCCGGTTACTCACGGTGATCGAAGGATCAGACGTAAGTGTGCATCTGGTCCCCTGTGGACAAGTTCCTGCAACGCCTCGTCTAGGTGTTCTTCGGCCTCGGCCACGTCTTGTATTGTAGGCGTGTTTAGAGCACCTTCTCTGTCTTGCCAAAAATTGTAGAATAGACACTTGTCCTTAAACGGATGTTCCCCAGTAGCTGTTTGGATAACATATTATGATGTAGTTTTTAATCGCTCTATTGATCCATATTAATCCAATATGTCGGTAATACAATAATTGAATATAATTATTATATTTAGGTAGGTTATATTATATTATAGGTTATATTATACACTAGGATGCTCAGATATCCTAATATATACACGAACATCTAGTTTTCTTATATCATGCTAGTTTCCTGATATACTGACAGTAATTCAAAAGGAGCAAGCTACACGTTTTATTTCCTTTTATGCGTATCATCAATAATTGTTTTATTATATTTATCTGTGAATAAACGTAACTTGGATTTGTTTGAAAGTAGGTAGCTCGTTATTTATTAAGTTAATATCAATAAATATAAATTAAGTTAAAAGTCAAGTTGACAAAAATTAAATGCAAAAAGTTACTAATTGATACAACTTTGAACTTTTAAATTCGTTTATATCTAGCATTAAATATTCTTATTATTAGTATAATAGTCCTCAAAAAAGCTTACAAAAATAGATGTAAAATTGGATCTTGTATTTGCGATATTCAGAACATTTTAACAAATGTTAACAAACTTCCAAACCTAATTACCAAGAACCAATATCTCAAAACCTATTCGATTAAACTAATGCAATTTAGGTACCTCAGAATTTTAAAAAAGTCAACTGATTAACAGCTTACAGGAAAAACGGTAACACTTATTTAAAAAACAAATAATTTGATATAGCTATAATAAGGGTCTTATTCCTTAAATAGTAGGATAAATCTAAGCATTAAAGAATATTATAAGTTCATGATATACAATATATTATAATATATTACAATTAGAATTTGAATGAACTCATCGTTCAAGGTATAAATGGGGATGTGAATGTTTGGTTAATCAAACTATAAGAAATCGTATAATATTACGTTATATTATAATTTTTAATAACTAGGTAAATTAAAGAGTAGTTTTGGTCGTTCAAGTATTATAATAAGTTAGATTGATATAATAATTGTGAGAAATTTGTTTTTACTAGGTACCTTAAAAATTGTCCAGTATTTTTATTTAGGAAATCTGAGCTTTATATACTATAATACTTATGAGCACAAAACTCGTGGCTGACGTACAGTTTTTGAACACAATTTTATGTTTGAGTGAGTCGATTTAATTTTAAGAAAGTCTCGAAAAAAAAAAATAATAGCAATATAATATAAACACGTCGGATATCTGATACTAATAATAATAATAATAACAACAACAAAGTAAATTATTGATATTATATAGTATTATAATCTTTTGTCTCACCGTGCGATATGACTCCTTCCTCGAGCAGAGCTTGCCACATGCCAATCACGTCGTGTCTGCTGAACGAATCGTGGTCCGTGGACACTAGGTTCATCAGCCAGTCGATGAGCTCGCTGCCGGAAGCACACCTCCGGACAACGGATCGGCCACCACCGGTCTTCCGGTCCCTGAGTACGGTGTTCTGATCACTGAGCAACAGCGTGCGCAGTACCCAACCGGCTCTGGCCATCGGCATACTGGGGTTCTGCGCAAACGCAACGATTACGGTACATTACAAAAAATCATAGTGTAGGTATGTGTGGGTGGGTACCTCAATACAATATTATAAGAGTTTAACCCACCGCGCAGACTGTATCGAGCAACCGAATGGAGAGTGTTTGACAAAGATATAACTATGTAGTACTTAGGTATGTACAGAGTGATTCACCAAGTACCTATGCTCACCCCTGTTTTATCCTTTACACGCTGTGATTCAGCCAATTACAGTCAACTCTTAAGTAAGCTTAGACCATGTTTTAAAATATTTTAATTTATTTCAGAAGAAGAAAGAGTACTGTGGTAAAATGAAAACCGTTTTAGGTATTGTACAATTGAAAAGCCAACGATTATTTTGAAAATATTGATGTATATTTTAATCGAATTTCAAGTAAGTAGTTTTTTTTAAGTTAATAAAGTATAACGACTAATGAGATGTGTATCAATAATAATTATTAGTCCGTGATGATAATTTATGTTTAGAAGACATGATAATTGATAGTACTTGTGATGATTATGGCAAATTACAACCATGACAAATATATATTATCTTTTTATTATTTATAAAAAGATAAAAATTGTAGTACCTATAATAATAAGTATTTTAAAATAAAATTTCTAAGTTCTATAGAGAATTCAAAAAATCATAATTTTAATAGACTCAAAATTACCCAATAAACCGTTGCCCTAAGCATGCTTAGTGAATCACCCTGTACAGCGTGCAATGTACATAATACAATGTTCTATCATTATTTTGAGTAATGACCGATGTGTTTGTTTTACGTTGTTTTGAACTTGTGAGAAATCTAATCTCGTTGACATTACGTAATCGGAGGTACACAATAATATTATACTAAATAATATTACCTACAATATTATTTTCATTTTCGATTTTCGTATTCAGGTACCCGTGCAATGCCAATATCGTCGTAATATCGTGACGCGACGCACTATTTATTGTGCAATACAGTCGCTTAAAGGTTTTTTTTTCACAGAATTATGCTATTAATCGATTCGGTGAAAAAATAATTGTTGTAGTCAATATTTAAACTGTCATTGAACAATCGCATGATGCACAGCGCCTTCCGGCCTTGCCAGAAAAAAATTACAGGTAATTTTACATTTTATATTTTGATTGGCAGTGCGTTAAGTGCTTGAATATTTTTAAAATACTTAAGTGCTTCGTGTACATTTTTTGAATAACAATTTTTTTTAGTTCTAATTTTTACCCACGAATGGTATTCAAATTTAAATAACAAACGATGCTTTTATACGAACACTTGATGCACAAATATGCTTTGATATACAGTAATAATTTACAGATGCAATAACGGTGTTTGAAGAAAATGTTAAACGCTTCCTGAACAGAAGCATACCCCATACACCATTTAAACATTAATATTTAATGTATGAATGTATGATAATAATTTAATAATAATAATATAATAGTGTAATGCATTCTGCTGCAGTTTTCGTAGGGCAATTGGTCGCATAAACTAAATTACGATGTCTCATACGA